TATTTATATAACACTGACAATTTATGCAGAGCTTTATATAGTGGCACATTCACATCAGTTCCTGCCATCAAGGAACTAACAATCTAAGGACCCTATCTCACATGCATAAATACAGGGCCAATTTAGACAGAAGCCAATTACCCATCCAGCGTGTCTTTGGAGTGTGGGAGGAGATTCAAACCAGGGACCCCCAGCGCTGATTCCTATGTAGATTAATCCTAATAAAAATCCCTCATTGTTTCCTACTTAGAAAACTCAGCGAGAGGTGGAAATGGTGGGCATCCAAGCCTAAAGTGCCTACAGACAGGGCCAGATTTCCCACAAGGCCAACCAAGGCCCAGCCTTGAGGCAGCAGGGAGTAGAGGGGCAGCAGAGGTGTGGAATTCCTATCTCCCAAGTTATATCCCACCGCACTCCTGACCGGAAACAAACCCAAAGATCCGGTGGGTAGATTGTGTCACATTTATAGAACCGACGTTTCGGAACCAATTGGCTCTTTCTTTAGGCAAACATAAACCATTTTATGTTTGCCTGAAGAAGGAGCCACTTGGTTCCGAAACGTCGTTGCTATACATGTGACACTATCTCAGTCAATAAAAGATATTGACTTTGCATCAAGTTGGAGCGCGACTGACCATTTATCGATTTTGAATTCCTATCTCCCGAGCCTGGGACATGCAGTTCCGGGTGCCGGACATGTAATTGTTTTCTCCATTAAGCCCTGCTTTGGGCAAGCAAAGCTAAATGTACAGCGGGGAAGCCGCCACTGGTTTTGTACATTTCTCTGAGATCTCTTGTATGCAGCCGGCAGGTCTGCCATTCTCCATGAGGGGGTTGGCGGGTAGGGGGGTGCATTGAGGAACCTGGCCTTGGGGCAGCAGAGAGAGTAAATCCAGCCCTGTCTACAGAACTAGATGGTGGTTAGCCACCCATGGTCCAATATGATCCAATGATAGTTCTTACATACATTAGTCATTCAAACATGCAGGTTGGCTGTGAGAAAGAACATATCTATTGTGCCGAGGGGAGGGAGGAGCTCTGCAAGTGTCCGTTGTGTTAAGGGGAAATAATAGAGATTGGCCAGATAAATTTATTCCAGACGATCAATTGTTGACTGTTTCCAGTCCCCTTATTGCTGGTGGTCCGCTACTTCTTTTAACTTTTTCAAGCATTTTTATCTTTTTCAGTGACTCATAATATGGCCACAAAAAGGGCAATCAGTTATTTGGGATTCCAGTGAAAGATTGGACTATATTTGTTGAAGGATCTTTTTTGGTTACTTTCCTTGCTTTCCTCAAGGGATGACATTTGGATTCAACGCAACCTTGGGTTCCAGGCGGATCCCTAGGTTTCGTGATTATGACAAATTCCACATTTGGAATAGCATAGTCCTGCCCAGGACATTGCCATTCATTTAAAAAAATAAAATACATACAATTCGGGATCAGATCGCCACTGTCCAATCAACTTCCCCTATTAATGTACCAGACCCACCATCACACTTGCTACTTTCCTCTTTTGACCCTGTCACCACAGAGGAGGTTACAAAGCTTTTCTCTAACTCCCGCTTCACCACTTGCCCCCTGGAACCAGTTCCCTCACCACTACTCCGGTCGCCCTCTTGCTCTATCCTACACTCTCTTACTCACATTTTCAATCTTTCACTCTCTACTGGCATCTTTCACTCCCTTCTAATACATGCGCTAGTCACCCCAATACCCACCCAAAATACCGGCTTATCTACAGCCGCCTGATCCGCCACCCCGCTGATAACAACCTTCTCGACCCCTCACAATCCGGCTTTCGCCCTCTACACTCCACTAAAACTGCCCTTCTCAAACTCACTAATGACTTACTACCAGCTAAAAACAATGACCACTACTCCCTACTCTTGCTATTAGACCTTTCTGCTGCTTTTGACACTGTTGACCACCTGCTCCTCCTCAAAAAACTCCACTTGCTTGGCCTACAAGACTCTGCTCTCTCATGGTTCTCCTCCTACCTATCTAAGCACTCCTTTAGTGTCACCTACAAATCTAACTCATGCCCTCCTCTTCCTCTTTCTGTAGTGGTCCCCCAAGGCTCTGTGCTTGGACCCATCCTCTTCTCCAGCTACACTTCCTCCCTTGGTCAGGTTATAACTTCACAAGGCTTCCAATACCATCTCTATGCAGATGACACTCAAATCTAACTTTCTACTCCACAACTCTCCCCCTCAGTGTCCTTGCGTGTCACTAATCTACTAACTGACATATCAGTCTGGATGTCGCAACACTTCTTTAAACTCAACCTTTCAAAAACTGAGCTCATTATATTTCCTCCTGCCCGTGCACCTTCCCCCAACTTTTCCCTTGAGATTGATAACACAACTATCCAACCCTCCCCCCATGCCAAGGTGCTAGGTGTCATCCTTGATTCGGACCTCACCTTTCTTCCCCATGTCCAATCACAATCCAAATCCTGCTGCCTTCACCTTCGTAACATCTCCAAAATACGCCCCTTCCTCACCAATGAAACAACTAAATTACTCCAAGCCCTTGTTATCTCTCGTCTTGACTATTGCAACTCCCTCCTCATTGGCTTATCTCTACACAGGCTATCCCCCCTCTGGTCTATCATGAATGCAGTTGCTAGACTCATTCACCTAACCAACCGCTCAGTGTCTGCAACCCCCCTCTGCCGATCCCTGCACTGGCTTCCAATCGCCCAAAGGATAAAATTCAAAATATTAACAACCACTTACAAAGCCATCCACAACTCTGCCCCCGGATATCTCAGACCTTGTCTCAAAATATCACCCTAACCGTCCCCTCCGCTCTTCAAAAGACCTTCTGCTTTCCAGCTCCCTCGTCAACTCCTCCCATGCTCGCCTCCAGGACTTCTCTAGGAGAAATTGGAAATACATACTGTTGTTTAAATATTGTATCTTTTTATCTGTTACTTCTTATTTTATTATTTTACAATTGTTATTATTCTAACATTATTATTTTACAGGTTTTTGTTTCTGCTTGCTTTGCTGTTTGCTTTGCTTTGTGCTACATTTTGCTGGTAGCATCTATGGGTGTTTTATCGCCACCTAGTGGTTATGCAGAAGACTTAATGTATTATTATTAGTAGTATTCAGGATTTATATAGCGCCAACAGTTTGCGCAGCTCTTTACAAAATGGGGGAGACAGTACAGTACAGTTACACTACAATATAATTTCAGTACAGGAGGTAGGAGGGCCCTGCTCGTAAAGGCTAATAATCTAGTAGGAGGAGCAAGTGACACAAAAGGTAATAATTGTTTAGATTGAGTTAGTGGAAGAAGTAGGGCAGTTATGTTGAGATGGGAGAGGCTTCCCTGAAGAGATGAGTTTTTAAGGGTCGCTTAAAGGTGGGCAGCGTAGGAGCTAGGCAGACAGATTGGGGTAAGGAGTTCCAGAGGATGGGAGACACTCTGGTGAAGTCCTGGAGGAGGGCATGGATGGAGGTAATTATAGAGCAGAAGGTCTTGAGAGGAGCGGAAAGGACGGTTTGGGTGATATTTTGAGATAAGGTGGGTGATGTAGGTTGGGGCAGAGTTGTAGATGGCTTTGTATGTTGTTGTTAGCATTTTGAATTTTATTCATTGGGCAATTGAGAGCCAGTGGAGGGATTGACAGAGAGGGGTGGCAGACACTGAACGGTTGGTAAGGTGGATGAGTCTGGCAGCATCATTCATGATAGACTGAAGGGGGGGATAGCCTGTTTTTCATACTTACTGTATATAAACTAATTTGAGATAACATGGGTTTAATATTTATATTTGTTATCTATTCATTATTATTAGTGTACTAATTTGTATTGAAATTGTATTCCATCACAGGAGCGTGCTTGGAGCAGTGTCTAGGGGATCCAACCAACTAATCGATAATGAGAATAGTTGACAACTATTCTCATTGCATTGTTTTCAGAAATAAAGTTATGCATTCACATAAAACCTGCTATCTGATAATTTGAAAAGCTTACAAGGTGGATTGAAGATTTGCATACATATGCAGTCATGCCAGCAATTGTGGCTTAGTATGGATGGGGTGTTGTCAGGCACCATCAGATGGGATCACAAAATGCATACGAGGAGCGAGCACATCCAGTCATTCAAACTGCATTCTCTGTAACTATTGACGAAAAGGTATCTTATTTGTGTATCACTCAGCTGTAGATCCTCAAATAATCTCTGAAAAGTGGTGACACTGTCCTTCCTTCTGGAGGGTGGCTACTTTTGTTCCCCATGGCCCCTGGATGTGTTGTAAAGTAGGGCTGCAACCAACTAATCGATTAGGAGAACTAGGTGTCAACTATTCATGTGTGCAAAAAAAAAAAAGGCCTCAGTCATTAATGAGTTAAACACCTTTTTCAGGGAACCCTTCCTGCACTTCCTGGATTCTGGTCTAGGAGGGAATTATGTATTTGATGCTCACAGCTTCCAGAGATACCCAAGAAGTGTTGGGGTACTTTACAACGACATACCATCGGAGAGGAGGGTGGCTGCAAGAGACATTAGGCCCCCTAAAGAGGAAGAGAAGATGGCAGCATGGGAGCAGGTGTGCAGCAGTGGAGCGGCGGATCCCTAAAGATTGTTTGGAGTGTGGTTTTTTTAAGGAAAAACCCAGCAATAAAGTTAAGGGGGGGGCAGTGGGGGGAACTGCTCTTTAATGAAAGAGATGAATGCCTCATAACTTGAATAGTATACACAGTGTGTCCCTCTCCCAGTATGTCCTAAAGGTCCCTCTCCCAGTATGTCCTAAAATATATAAGTATCATTACTAATATAATAGAGGGGACAGAGTGCAGCTTGTCATGGTTAGTGCTGAGTTCTCATTGGAAAGAATGAATGTACTTGTATCTCTCAGCTGTTCACACAACCATAAGAGGCAGCACTAGCCCCGCCCACCACATTGCCCTCACTCTATTCCTTGTGCGGCACTTCCGCCCACACTTCTACTCTCCTCCCTTTCCCAGAAGGCAGCGCGGCCCTCAGTCAGCTGATCGGGTAGTACAGATGCGTCTCGGTGGTGACAGGTGGCATATACACCGCTGCCATGCAGGTAAGTGTCCCTCTGCCAATGGCGGCGGGTATTAACACCTTCCTTGCCAGGGACCGAGCTGCAGCGTCTTTCCCGTGCACCCTTTTTTATTAGAAGGCTGAGTTTATTTCCGGGGACACCCTGAGGGCTCATTTACTAAACTTTTTGTAAAAGTTTACCAGATTCCCATGACACTGAAGCTGGCTCCTCCTTTGTTTACATCTGGGCCCCTCTGGTGCTGTGTTTGTTGGTGAGGTGCTAGTTCTAAGATTGTTATACAGAGGTGACAATGGAGTAAACTTGTCAGGATACCCACTCGTTCCCAGCACTATGTATTACTAGTCTGTGCATACTACCATACCCGCACCCAACACTGTACAATACTTGTCTATACTGACTGCTGACCATGATACCCAGCACCGTACAATACTAGTCTATACTGACCGCTGACCATGATACCTTACACCCAGCACTGTGCACTACTAGTCTATAGAGACCGCTGACCATGATACCTTACACGCAGGACTGTGCACTACTAGTCTACACTGACCGCTGACCATGATACCCTGCACCGTACAATACTTGTCTATACTGACCGCTGACCATGATATCTTACACCCAGCACTGTGCACTACTAGTCTATACTGACCGCTGACCATGATACCTTACACCAAGCACTGTGCACTACTAGTCTATACTGACCGCTGACCATGATACCCTGCACCGTACAATACTTGTCTATACTGACCGCTGACCATGATACCTTACACCCAGCACTGTGCACTACAAGTCTATACTGACCGCTGACCATGATACCCTGCACCGTACAATACTTGTCTATACTGACCGCTGACCATGATACCTTACACCCAGCACTGTACACTACTAGTCTATACTGACCGCTGACACCTTACACCTAGCACTGTACACTACTAGTCTATACTGGCCGCTGACCATGGAATCGCATACCCAGCACTGTGCACTACTAGTCTATACTGACCGCTGACCATGGTATCCCACACCCAGCACCGTCTAACACCAGTCTGTACAGTCTGCTGACTGTAGTACCCCGCACCCAACGCCATGGAATATTACTACTATACAGACCAGGGTACCCCTGGGCCAGACACTGTTCACTACTAGTCAATACTGACCACAGAAAGGGCGTATCCCACACCCAGCACCATGCAATACTATGCAATACTGACCATTGTACCTGATATCCAGCACCGTGCACTACTGGTCTATACATTCCATCCACTCAATGTCGGTACCCTGCACCCGACACCATGCAGCACTGATCTATACTGAACACAGACCGTGGTACCCTGTGTTGTGTACACTTGCACCCTCAATGATATGCCCCAAAAGCTGCATTGTGGAATGTCAGGTGCTCTTCTTTACCTGAAAGTCACGTGATAATACAGGATGGCAGTGGGGGTTGTTGCACAGGTAAAGGTTTGTGTAGGCTCGTGGTGTGGGTTTTTTTTTGTTTCAGACAGGTTTGTTTTAAAGTGAAAAAGAGAACCTGTGCATGGTCAATACTCGAATTACCTCAGCTCCTTTATAAAATACTGGTTGCTTGGCTATGATGTGTTATCATGCACTTCGATGTGAAAGGGGCTAACTGCCACTCTCCCTCTAGAAATAAACTAAAATAAAATTAGAGGTCTGTGGAGAGGTGCCCCCTTCCGTTAGTGGTCTGTGGAGAGGTGCCCCCTTCCGTTAGTGGTCTGTGGAGAGGTGCCCCCTTCCGTTAGTGGTCTGTGGAGAGGTGCCCCCTTCCGTTAGTGGTCTGTGGAGAGGTGCCCCCTTCCGTTAGTGGTCTGTGGAGAGGTGCCCCCTTCCGTTAGTGGTCTGTGGAGAGGTGCCCCCTTCCGTTAGTGGTCTGTGGAGAGGTGCCCCCTTACGTTAGTGGTCTGTGGAGAGGTGCCTCCTTACGTTAGTGGTCTGTGGAGAGGTGCCCTCTTCCGTTAGTGGTCTGTGGAGAGGTGCCCCCTTAAGTTAGTGGTCTGCGGAGACGTGCCCCCTTAAGTTAGTGGTCTGCGGAGACGTGCCCCCTTAAGTTAGTGGTCTGCGGAGAGGTGCCTCCTTACGTTAGTGGTCTGCGGACAGATGCCTCCTTACTTTAGTGGTCTGTGGAGAGGTGCCCCCTTACGTTAGCGGTCTGTGGAGAGGTGCTCCCTTACGTTAGCGGTCTCTGGACAGATGCATCCTTACGTTAGCGGTCTGGAGAGGTGCCCCCTTACGTTAGTGATCAGTAGTAATTACTGACGTTTGCCAAAAACAAAAAATCCATGAGCCCCAAACATAGCGCCCGGACCCCACTGAATCTTGTAATTTTTTTCCTGCCCTATTTTAAAGCTAGTTTGCAAGCTTTTGTTAGAAAAAGGGCATGGCTATACCAGGGACTTGTACCAATGTAAAAACATTTTCAAAAGATATTTAGTGGGGAGCAGATATTTTATTTAGTAACTAATGTAAGGGGGCACTTTGATGAGGTCACAGAATGTAAGGAGGCACTTTGATGAGGTCACAGAATGTAAGGGGGCACTTTGATGAGGTCACAGAATGTAAGGAGGTACTTTGATGAGGTCACAGAATGTAAGGAGGCACTTTGATGAGGTCACCTAATGAGAGTGCCCACTTACAATAGTTGTCTCCACCAGCGTGCCCCCAAACCTTTCCTCAGCAGGCAGAGAGGGGGGCAGCCTGCAGGTTCTAGACTGAAGAAGTGCTCCTGTGATGCTGGGGGCGGGGCACGCAAGTGACCTCATTGGTTGTTAGGACTCCAGTGGTCATAACAACCAATGACTTTAGAGGACGTGGGGGAAGTTGTGCTGGGTTACGGCTGGCTGACTGGCACTGGCTTTGAAGAGTCTCTGAGGCAAGCACATCCTCTGTCAGTCAGCCAGACATTACTGCGTGATCATGATCCATACAGAACCGTCACTCGGTCCATGTCCGCAGTCCGCCATTAAGTGATCCCTGCTTTAAAGTATATGGCATGCCAACATTTTTTTGCAGTTGTCACCAGAATAAGAGGTAAGGGAAAATCCTCCAATGAGGACATCTTTTCTGGTGCCCACTCTTTGAATGACAATATGTATAGATTACCATGTAAAAGCCTTTTTCTCTTTTCATTTCACAGATGCATTTTGTTTTCTCGGATAACGTGACCTTGCTGTTTGATATATGGACAGTCCAGACTCTAACAGGTAGTGTAACATCTGTTGTATGAAATGCTGAACCTCACTAGAGTGTCATCTGCACCCTTCAAAGGACCATGTTGAGTTAGAATGGCTTTTATTTGGCCTAAATGTTGTTATCCTTATCCTTCCATTAAGGGGAAAAGCATGCAGCCTGTGAAGTGACAGAACAGCCGATACACCCATATGTGTCCCAAGTCAATGACTCCCCAAGTAGTGAAGGACAAATAAGTGGGGACAGTTTGGAGCTTGCACTCTCAGACAGAAGTCAGAAAAGGCAGTTTCTATATGTCTGACCTAACAGGTTTCTTTTCTATTAGGGGATCATAGAATTCACTTTCCCTGTGATAAGTAGTGACTACTGATGTGTGTGGGCTTGGTGCGAACCCACGCAAAGCTGTCAGTGACAGTCACCCCTTCCAGCCCAATCAGGTGCCCCAGAGGGATGTAACAAGAGGGCAGGGAATGCCCTGGCTGCAACTGAGTAGTCCAGGAGGGAGACACTCCTCCTCGGGGGAGTGTCACTGACATTGTTGTGCGGGCTTTGGCAACTCCGGTGACATGAATGTGCACCAAGCCCACGCACATCATTAGTAGTGACAAGCTGGGGTAACTGAAATTCAGTGCAATTGGCATTTGTTTAAAGCGTATCTAAACCCAAAAAGAAAATTGTCATATTGCAGATTACCAGTACTTAGATGAAGTGGCTGCATTAGTTTTCCATATTTTTTAACCTGGTAATTCACTCTTCCTGTCCCTGGGTGCCTATGTTCACTCCTCCCCTGTATCTATGGAGAGAGCCATTGTTGTCACCTAGGCTGGAATTCAAACATATTCATTTCCAGTATATGGGGAAGGGGGAGATTAGTAGATGAAGAATAACACATTTTCTGCCCGAGGGTAACAATGCTCACTCACTGTACTGTATTTATTGAGGAGCAGTTGTCACCCTAGAACCAGGACTACAGAACACCTTCTCTCTCCATCTCTATGACATGGGGGAGGTGTTTTAACCACTTCCAGGCCGCAATACGAAAATATACGGCGGCCCGCAGAAGTGGTTATACCAAGAACATGGCTGCTGCTGCAGTGCTGTCCTTGTTGTCATTTTAAACAGCCGGCGTTGACTGTTCAGGTACAAGTGATCCGGCATCTATACAGCCGCTAGATCGTTTGTACCGATTGGCTGATCGTGCTGTCCCCACCCCCTCCGCCGCCTCCTCCTTTCCCGGGCTCCGCTGTCCCTGGCACGGCGGTTCTCCCCGCAATGATCGGAGGGAGTGGAACTCTCCTGTGATCAGTGGACCCAGAAGTGATGTGAATTACATCACTTCCGGTGTCACTGTGTACATTCTACAGCTCTTAGAGCCAGGAGAAGAAGATTCTTTGGGGTCCCTAGGTGACAGGGGTCTAAAAGACCCCTGATGTCTCCATAAAGAGGACCTGTCACACCCTATCTGCTATTACATAGTGACTTGCCAGCCCCCTATGTGATAGCAATAAGGTTAGTTTAAAAAGATTTTTAAAAATGAAAGTAACATATAAGAAAATTAAGAAAGACAAAAACATTTTTTAAAAGTCCCCCGCCCCCCACATGCATGCACATACATACGCAAACAAGCGTTGGTGCGCCTACGTGCAAAAATAAACATTGTGCCCCACCTGTTACATATCATCGCGAATGTCAGAGTGAGGGCAATAATCTAGAGCCATTAATCACTGTTGGCACTAAAATGATGAGCGGTAAAAGCTTTTAAAGTGTCGCCTATGGGAAATTTGGGGTATTGTAGTTTTTGCGGCTTCACGGGCGAACACAATTTTAAGGCTTGAAATGTTTGGTATCTATTTACCCGGCGTGACCCCATATTTTATATTTTACCAAAAAATTGGGTATTATATTCTGTTTCTGTGCACTAAATTTCATTTAAGTGTATTTTATCCTACAAATACGGGTTTGATAAACATTTGCGCAAATACTGTGCAACATAAAAGATTGCAACTAGCATTTTTTTTATTCTACAGGGCCTCTGCTTTCAGAAAATATCATTGTTTGGGGGGTTTAAAGCTGTTTTCTAGGCAAACATTCAAAATATATCATGCGTGTGCAAATAGTAAGAAATTGCTCCAGACAGCAAGTGGTTAAATGACATCCTATGCAAATCAATGCTCATTAATTAGATCTGCAGATTTATGAAATAGTAAATACAAAGCAACAATGTTTCTTTATATCTCTAAAGGTCCCCACACACCTTACGATAATCGTACGATAATCGCGGGAAATCCCGCGATCGTACGATTATCGTAAGGTGTGTGGAAAAATGCATGTAAAAACATGCAAAAAAACACAGCACACTCGCGTTTTTAAGCTTTATCTGCTGAGTCTATAGGGGCCAAAGCGAGCTGTAATATGCCCCCCAAAAAAGCTCATCTAATTATTGCAGTGATAGGCGATGGACAGGGCCATAGAAACGAATCGGATTTTGGGGGGGGGGGGGCATATTTTTTAGTGTTTTTTAGGGCAGAAAAAGCGCTACAAAGCGCTCAGCGTGAACCAGGTTCAAATCCTGAGTCTGAACATTGTTTACAAACACTGATCAGAAGGTTCTGTTTCTGACAGCAGTGGCAAGAGTTGGCTGCTGTATAGTCACAGCACGTTCCCGCTGTCATTTTGATTTGAATCTATAAACATTCATCTTTTGTTTATTGTAGTGAAGATTTAAAGCTGTGCAGTCTATAGTTTAGTTTCCACTTTGACTACTAGGATCATGCTAAGCAACGGATGGACAAATAAATGTGAAACTCTTGGACCAGTCTACCAAATCCAGAAGTTGGTTTGAACTTTTAAAGGACAACTTCACCTTTAGTCGTCCTTTAGTTCACCCAACCCCTTAAAGAGCAGTAACAAGGTGCAGGAATTTTTTTATGGCTCGCTCACTTCTCGATCCTGTCCCTGCAGAGAGCTGTGACTGTAGCTCACGGCTCCCTGCAGGGATTCCCCCCTGCAGGGATTCCCCCCTCCCCGCTCCGATCCTCCAGCGCTGACTGGCGGAACGGACGGGGCAGAGGCAGCTGACAGTAATGTCGGGATCCATCCCGGCTGCAGCGGTCTCGGTATACTGCGAGCTGTAGCTCGCAATATACTAAGCTTTGGGTCACGGGAGGATGCTAGTTTTTTGTCCTCTCGTGACTCTCAGGAGAACTATGGGGAAAAGCACTTACCCCATAGTTCTCCTTTTAATACCGACCTCTCTCCGGATGCCGCTCTAAAGATGAGAACTCGGCAGCTGAATAAACTGACACTCCTGGTAGTGTCGATCTTTCGTTTCCCCACTGCGCTCTGTGGTTTCTCCTGCGAGCCCTATGTCACTCCAGTACACAGTAGTGATGTAGAGGCCGGCAAATAAAACCGCATGCTAGCCCTTTGGCTTCAGTATCTTTTGAGTTCAGTGCACAATGCTCTAAAATGTAATAGTTTGCTGTATCATTAACAATGCGCTTCGCTTGATACACTTGAACTCAGTAATTTGAAGGGGGGTGCACTTACTTTAGGCCATATCGTGTGTGTGTGTCTCTAGGAATGCAGAGATAATACATACCTCTTCATTATAGCACTATCCAGCTCTGAATGTCTGAGGAACCTCTTCCTTATAGTATTTTCACGGGAACGTTTGTGGTGTGTGGGGCAGGTTTTTTTATCATAGGGGTTTAATCAGGCACCTTATTATGTCATTGATTCAGCACTGCATTCATTTAACATGTCTTCATGATAACAGCTTGTTTGGAAACTAATTTCCCATTTTGCCTCTTGGACAGTAATGGTGTCACGAGTTTAATGAATCACTTCCTCTGGGTGATGGGAGAGGGAACTGGATTTCAAAAATAAAGTTCACTCTAATCTGTACAAGTGAACAGAGCTGTGGCTTTGCATGTAGTATGGAATGACATTTAATGCTCGATGGACACGTAAGGCTGAATTAAGACATGTGAGGTCAGTGACAGTGCACACGCGTTTTTTTCTCGCGTTAACGTGTAAAGCAGCTAAAATCACCTCAGCATGTAGCTCTAAATCATCTTACATTTATTAGGTAAACATATTTTCTTTTACTTACAAATATTGTTTGTCCACGTCCTGGTCCTCTTGGTCATTAGTGAAATAATCCGTTGCATCCTGGGAAGGTTACATCAGCAGAGCGTTGCCGGGAAATCTCATCTGTGTAATCTCAGGAAAAGGCATTTTCCTCCCTTGAGATGATGTGCATGGTCACATGTCTTAGTCACATGTGCCAGGAAGTAAAGGGAGATGGTTTCATCTGCACTTAGTAAGAATGGGGAGTAAAAGAGAAATAAGGTGTGAAGACTACAAATCCTGCAATTATCTAGAAGTGTGTGTTTGTAGATCCAGGTTTCCGCTATACCCACTATGTCGAAGTCCTCTTCAATTAACCTAATTTCAAGCTCCTCTATTTTATTTGCCAGACTTCTAGCGTTGGTGTACATACATTTAATTCCTCTCTTTTTGTGGGACAAAAGTTTACTACCTTGTTCCCCACTATTTTTATTGTTATTATTCTGCCTTGATTTTGGTCGTCCGTTGGTAGTTATACTTACATGTGCCAACGGATTTCCTATATTGACTATATTTCCTATATTAAACATTTCTAAAGGTGCCTTTGTTGTCATTTCCGAGATAAGGGTAAAGTTCCTCTTTAAGGCAGTCCGTTCACTATAAATGGCCCTTAAAGTAAACTTGTCCCACACCTGGGCACGTGATGAAAAATGTATCAGCGGATGTTACCTTTAGTTAAACCCAAATGTCAAAGCGATCCATAGACTTAAAGTGACATTAAAGGATAAAAATGTTTTCTCTCCCCCCAATGTTAATGAAAGCACTTACCTTAAATGATGTCTCTTAATCCGATCTTCTTCTTCTTTCCTGATGTTTTCAGCCTTCTCTCCAGCGCTGCTGCGGGTCTCTGATCCAGTGCTGACTCCTTTGTGTTTGATGGCACTTCCTGTCCCACGGTGTCTGCATGCGGGTGCACGCTGTCCATAGACTTACCTAGTGTCTCTCCTCGTCTCCCGGCCGAAAATGTGAACTGCGCATGCGCCCGCCCCAAGATGCTTTGCCTGAGATTTTTCAGATTTTCGGACGGGAGCGTGCGGGGAAGACACAGGTAAGTATTGACCCTTTTTAAAGCGCTTTAAAAAAAAAGTTTTTTGCATATATCTACTGCTTGCTAGCAGTAGATATATGCAAAACAAATGGAGGCTTTAAAAACCCTTTAAATGGATGTAGGCATGTGATATTATGTTCACATCTTAACAGCTGGGAGTGTTGAACTGGACCTCACTCCCACTTTCAAAACCTCCCTGTTGGTCTTTTATTATCATAAGTGGCTTCCGTGATCAACAGGGAGGCTTGGAATACATGAGGGGTGGGGCCAGGAAAAGCAGAGATTTGCATAAAATGTTGTCTGTCTATGTCTCTGAATATACTGATTGTTGTAATTGAAAGTAGCCTCTCCTTATGCATTTTATTCTGACATGCTCATTTTATTTATTTTAAAGCAAACCCTGAATGGGGGTTTTCACAAATTAATAATAAAGACAGTCATTACCCGCTGCCCAGCTTCCTGATTGGCCAGGAAGCTGGCTCCATGTTCCCTCATGGCTCTGCCAGTCAGAGGAAATCTCCCTCTGACCGGAAGTCCAATTATCGGCAAAGGTATCGGTGCATTTGGGTAAGTACTCGCCAAAATACTCGCTATCGGCACTGCCACCAATATCGGTGCATCCCTATTGTTTTAGAGGTTGATCCTCTGCCCCAGCCCCTGTCATCCTGATCCTTACTTCACAGGCTAGCCACTGACCCCAAACCAACATGCATGATGCATAGTAGTACATCAGACTGTAGGCTGCATGACCCAGAGCTTCCATACTTCACTTCTCACAGTTCCTGGTCTGGTCATTGAACTAAAACAACAAATGGTTCCTCTGAGCTTACAACTTCCAAGTGGTATGCTTGTTAAGAGGCTAGTGACTCATTTACTGGTCCTGTAAAATGTTTTCACCCCTGTGGAAGTTTTCATGTTTAATTGTGATAGATGAATTTATTTAGGTTTACACTGATTAACAGAAATATATATTTTTGTATTAGAGTGAAAACAGATCTTTGCAAAGGGATTTCACTTATTGAACAATGACAAAGAAACCTTACAAAGTAACATACTGCATAAGTATACACCCCCTTCAAGTATGTTTAGTAGATGCAACTTTGACATCAGTGACAGCCTTTGTGGTGTTAGTTCTGTGTCAGTTTTGCACATCTGGGATCTGCAGGTTTTTTCCCATTGCTCTTTTCAAACTTCCTCAGCTCCTTTGGGTTGCCTGGGGATTGTGAATGAAAAGACTTGTTCAAGTCTGGTCAGACATTGGCTTGAGATCTGTAACCGTCTTCCAAAGATCAGATTTCTTGCAGACCGCATCGTTTTCCCCCCTAAGATTTCCATGTGTTTTTTTTGCGTTCATTTTACCCTCACCAGTCGTCCAGGGCGCGCTGAAGGGAAGCATTCCCACAGTATGATACTTATCACCGCCATGCTTCACAGTGGGGATGGTGCATTTATAACGTGCAGTGTTTAGTCAAGAATGGCATTTAAAAGGCTGAAATTTGGTTCCATCAGCCCATATAAACCTGGTGACAATCTCTTCTATGCATCTTCTGACAAACTGTGGATGACATATCATGTGAGTTTCAGTTAACAGTGCCTTCCCCTTTTCCACTCTTCCAGGAAGCTGTGACTGGAGAAGCACTAGGACAATAGTTTTTGTATATAAAGTCTCTTCAATATCAGCCACTGGGGCCTGCAACTCCTTGTGGGTTGTAATATGTCTCTTGGTGGCCTCCATCAATAGTCTCCTCCTGCACAGTCATGTACTTTGGTGGACGGCCTGTTCCTGGCACATTCGCAGCTGTGCTACACTCTTCATTTCTTAATGATTGATTGAAGTCATATATCTAAACTAGAGATGCCCATACACCTTACAATTATCTGCAGATTTTCTGTGGTCAGATGGAAAAAGTGCAACAGTTTGGCCCAGGTGGAGATTACTCCATCCACACAGTTAAGTGTAGATGGAGGAATCTGTTGCACCTTTTCCATCTGACCACAGAAAATCTGCAGATAATTGTAAGGTGTATGGGCAGCTTTGGGCTGGTAATGATTACAATTTTCGTGTTCGATTAATTGCATTTTTTTAACGATTAATCGAGAAATTAATCTTTAATTTCCGCAGCCCTAATCTAAACCCCAAAACAAACTGTATAGTCTGCAGATTACTAATCCTCAGATGTGGTGGCTGCCATAGTTTTCTACTTTATTTTCACCTGGCAATCCTGTGAATAACTCCCTTCCTGTCCCTTCATGTCAACATTTTTTTTTCTGCACTGCATCTATGGAGACAGCCATGGTTGTCACACAGGCTGAACTTTAACCACTTGCTGACCAGGTGTTTACACCCCCTTCCTGGCCAGGCCATTTTTTAGTATTCATCGCTACATAGTATGGGTGCAATCGTCGTTTTCGCATGTATGTGCACCCGACGCATGTTTGCACAGCGTCTGAAGCTGGAGAGTGATTCTTGTCAGCAGGTGGGGGGTTTGGCCACCGGCAGGGGCCGCCCCTAGGCTGTAATTGGTCTTTAGTTTTTTTGTGCCTAGCGTCCTTCTCCTGCAGGTGGCGATATTACCCTACAGTACATGATCTCCGATCTGTTCCCTGTGTCGTTCAATGAACGGAGAGAAAAGGATTTTACGGTGAGTACCAAAATCCTATTTTTTATATTTAGGTAGTTTCCCCGCTCTCTCGCGTGAGTGGGCGGACCTTGTGGGACATTTAAATACGCCTGCTCAGATCTAGTAAGCTCCCGGCTGGCTGTATCTCCACAACGGCCAGCCGGCAGGCGGTTAAACATGTCTGAATTTCAGTAGCGTAACTAAAGGAAGAGGATGACGGGTTCCCTTGTATCTGACTAAACATGATTTATACAGTCAGACCCCCTGAATTGTTCTGCAGGTATCAGCCATGCACATCCACTCTTCAGTACATGTTGGGCGATCTTGCGGTACTAGTCGAGGGGCAATGCAGCAAGCAGCTGAGCTATGTGGTTTCATCCCGACTTTATTAGGAGAGGATAGAAGTTACGTTGACACGTTTTACCCTTCCCATCCCATCTGCTGTGTCTTAGCGTCTGGTCCTCCAAAGCAACCATTCACATGACTTTCACTGATGTCAAAAGTAGGAATGCACCGATACTTTTCAGATACCAGTGCCGATACTTGGCATTTTCATGAGAACTACCTGGGTTGCAGCTGGGATCTGGTTCTGGCACTCCACCACTGTCCTGATATCATTAGTCTGTATGATTTTTGAAAAACTGTCACATGATAATAAACAAAAATGTATCAGTACTTGTACTTGCAAAACTGGTATCTGTGCATCCCTTATATATATTTATAAAAACAAAATCATACATTAAAGCCGAGATGCACAAATCCCAGAAGCTCAGTGTGCTCCTTACAAATGACAGCTGTCTCCTGACTTTTGAACTTTTCTCTAGTCTAGTCTTGGAGCTGGAAAAGTATCTGTACATGTACTTGTACCCAGTATAGTACATGGTATCGGTACATCCCTAGTGAAAAGATTGGTTGTGTATCAGTATCTTGCCATGAAATGCAACCCAACCTTTAGTGCTCGTTGTGTTTTTAGCACATGTTGCAGGGCAGAGGGTTGCCATCATGATATGCAAGGTCATAAAACAAGTCGTACGATTGGTTTTTATGCACTCCCATTGATTTCAATGGGCTGCCTGATGAGTGGCATTAACCCGTTTTGCAAGGTGTTCTGTGAATGGAGGAGGGAAGGATGAATGACAGGATTTTCCTTTGTCCATTCACAGAACACCTTGCATTCTGTGAAAACAATACGAGGCGTTTTGTGAATGGATAAGGTGTGAGGAAGAGGAGGGTGAAGGACGGGAGCACTTTAGTCACAGCTGCTGCTGTTAACCCCCGCAGTGCTGGAAGATCACCAATCTGTCTAGGATTAGGCATATGTAGCAGCTGGGGGAGGAGTGAAGGGTAATACTATGGCATATCACTTGGGTAACAGTTGAATCGTCTATTGGCTGCTGACATCACATTTAAGATGACAGCGCCCATCAGCAGTCTTAGGGTTTTGGATGTCTACAAGGGAGGCTGTTACAGGTAAATAACCTGCATAGAATGATAAAAGAACATCTAATCCTGCGGGGAGATTGTTGTATAAATGAATGGTCTGGTGACAGGGACTGTTTAGGGAAGAACTTGAGAAACAATGTGCTAGAAAATGAACAGCATTGGCAGAGTGCAAGGTCAGCTGATATATGACTGTCTTGTCTCTACAGGTCTTCTGCTTTCATGTGTCATCGTCCTGATGCTCACTGTCCTTTATGAGCTGTCCAAAGTATGGAAGTCCAATCTTCTAACCAAGGTCCTGCTGACTCTGCCACTGACTCCTGATTCCTCTCTGTCACCTTCATTGATCTCTGACACTGACGCTAATGTTTCTTCAACCTGTGACCCCTTGCTGACACGTGAGCCCCTGTACTCTGGGGAGAGCTCTGAGCCTCTGGGATCTCTACCTGTCAGATACACTTCCTCTACCTGCCGGTAAGTAAACATGGAGACTGTTACTGCTGACCACTACTTCTGAATATGCTAGCTGCCTGGCTGTCATGTTGCCATCTTGCATTCAAACTTGCAGTCGCTGACCAGTATGGATATGTAGATAAGGATTATTTTGATCTGCATGCTTGTTCCAGGTCAATGGCTTATAGGGCATTGAAGCCAGAGGATCAGCATTACAGGCAAGCAACTAGAATTTTCAGGTTTATTTTGCAGTCCCCTTCACATTATGCCTTGTGTTAACACAGCTTTCAAAAATGATACTGAACTCTTTTTTTTGGTTTTAACAGGGCAGCCCTGGTTCATGTGTCTTAAACTGCATTTCCATCACCAAACTCACAAAACACACATACACTATATTGCCAAAAGTATTGGGACACCCCTCCAAATCATTGGATTCAGGTGTTCTGTGAAATTTCCTTGTTACTAAATATTCCACGGTCCTCTGTTAGTGGTATTATAACAAAGTGGAAGCAACTGGGAACAACAGCAACTCAGCCACAAAGTGGTAGGCCAAGTAAAATGACAGAGCGGGGTCAACGCACAGTGCCCAGAAGTCGCCAACTGTCTGCAGGCTCAATAGCTACAGACCTCCAAACTTTGTGTGGCCTTCAACTTGGCACAACAACAGTGCGTAGAGAGCTCCATGGAATGGGTTTCCATGGCCGAGCAGCTGCATCGGATGCAGCGGTGTAAAGCGCGCCGCCACTGGACTCTAGAGAAGTGGAGACGTGTTCTCTGGAGTGACCAATCACGCTTCTCTGTCTGGCAATCTGAAGGACGTGTCTAGGTTTGCCGGTTGCCAGGAAAACGGTACTTGCCTGACTGCATTGTGCCAAGTGTAAAGTTTGGTGGAGGGGGGATTATGGTGTGAGGTTGTTTTTCAGGGGTTGTGCTTGGCCCCTTAGTTCCAGTGAAGGGAACTCTTAAGGCATCAGCATACCAAGACATTTTGGACAATTTCATGCTCCCAACTTTGTGGGAACAGTTTGGGGATGGCCCCTTCCTGTTCCAACATGACTGCGCACAGGTGTACAAAGCAAGGTCCATAAAGACATGGATGAGCGAGTTTGGGGTGGAGGAACTTGACTGGCCTGCACAGAGTCCTGACCTCAACCCGATAGAACACCTCTGGGATGAATTAGAGCAGAGACTGCCAGCCAGGCCTTCTCGTCCAACATCAGTACATGACCTCACAAATGCGCTTCTGGAAGAATGGTCAAACATTCCCATATACACATTCCTAAACCTTGTGGACGCCTTCCCAGAAGAGTTGAAGCTGTTATTGCTGCAAAGGGTGGAGCCAACCCAATACTGAACCCTACGGACTAAGACTGGGATGCCATTAGAGTTCATGTGCGTGTAAAGGCAGGTGTCCCAATACTTTTGGTAATATAGTGAATTTACCTTTCATGAAAGTGTTTCTCTGCAGTTCTGTGTTTTAACAATAACAACTTTAAAATGCTCGTCACTGCATTGTTATCTATTTTGCTTGTAAGGATGTTCATAAACAAGGGAAGGCAACATTATTATTATTATTACATAGTATTTATATAGCGCCAACAGTTTGTGCAGCGCTTTACAATATAAGGAAGACATTACAATCACAATACAAGACAAGATGGTAAGGAGGGCCCTGCCCCTGAGGGCTTACAATCTAAAAGAGGAGGGGGAAATGACAAACATTTGTATGGACTGTGCAGCAGGCATGCCCCTGTTGGGATGATATGATAGGATATGTATTCCAAATCCAGAACTGCTAGAAAGGTGACCTTCCTGCAGAACCTCCCATTTGACTTTGTTTGAAAATGTTTCAGCACTTTATAGAAACATTAGCTGGAAGGATTCTGTAGTGAAGCATGTGGAAATCTATGTAGTAGTGTATTTTTATTTTAACAAAGCTGAAAGTGTATCTAAACCAAAAATGTCATATTTTGCAGCTTATCAGTCCTTAGATGTGAGAGGTGCAGGTACACATTACAGGGGACCTGCTTGGTGATGGCTCCCCTCTACTCAGCTAGACAGAGGGAGGAGGCAGCGTCTCTTGGCTTTGTGTCTGTACAGACACTTATCAGGGGAAAGCAGTCTGATGTGCTGATCTTTGCCTATTCAGACCAGGCGAAGGTTTGCAGCTAATATGTGTGCTACATTGTAGTACAGATAGTTTATAGAGTGCAGAATCTGCGACAAATCACAGTTTGAGATTTTTCCCGTTTCTGGGGCACATGATGCAAATCCTCTTCATCAATAAGCACATTATGTTGTTTATTGGCCGCTTGTTAAGGGTACATCACACATGCACCAAAAAATGTCTTGAATACCTTTGTTCATCTGGGCCACTGTATGTGTGTGTATATATATATATATATATATAATATATATATGAAGGAGCCATGGTTGTCACACAGGCTTGACTTCAAACATGTCTGCTTTTATTCATCTCCATTACATGGTGGATTGATGGAATAAGTCTGTTCAGCTCCCAGAAAGTGACAAGGAGATAACATTTCTGGCAAGATCAACAGTTATTTTCTGTGCTTGCTGAAAACATTTTTAGCCTGAAAAATGTAAACTAATAGGTTTGTGAGTGCAAGGTCTCGGGACAGGAGCAATCCAAGCCGACTTCTTGATGCCTTAACCCAAGAGATTGAATGTCGTTCTACTCACCCATCTTCTCTTTACACACAGATGGTGGTTCCTGCACTCATCGTTGGCTCTGCTGCACACATGCCAGGTTTTCCTTGGATATGTTCTGATGTTGCTCGTCATGTCCTACAATACTGCCATTTTCCTGTCTGTTATCATTGGATCTGCTATTGGGTATTACTTGGCCTTCCCCCTCCTTGCTAAATACCCCAAGCCCCATAGGCTGTAGAATCCTGCTGCTGGGAGTACAGATAAGTGGACCTGTCTTCCTAATTCTGCTTGCACAAAATGCTATGAGCCTTTTTTCTATATATAAAATGCCGCAGGTTACATGGATACATGTGCACCTTAACTAAACCCCCCACCCGCCCCCCGCCTCC